TGTGTGTGTGTGTGTGTGTGTGTGTGTGTAAGATCAGCCCTAGGCTAACATCCAATGCCAATCCTCCTCTTTTTGCTGAGGAAGATTGGCCTTGGGCTAACATCCGTGCCCATCCTCCTCCACTTTATATGAGACGCCACCACAGCATTGCTTGACAAGTGGTGCGTCGGTGCACGCCCGGGATCCGAACCAGCGAACCCCGGGCCCCAGCAGCGGAACGCGCGCACTTAACCACTATGCCACGAGGCAGGCCCCAGAATTCTCCTACTCTTATATCCCTATTATAACTGAGCACAAAATTCAAGAGAATTTATTTACTTGTATTATTTTTATACAAAGACAATTTGTAATACTAAAGCATAATGCAAAATGTGTCTGACTAGACATTCAAACAATGCCAGAAGAAGCTCAAGAAAGTTTTAAGAAACCACGGCAGGGTTGGCAGAGGGCATTTCAATGGAGTAACTCCTTGTAATTTAGACTTGTGTGTCACTTTATGCATGACTAAGGAAATTGTTCATAAAAATACATTTTCGTGGTGGAATTTTTAAAATCTAGTAATAAATGTGACAATATTTTAAAGCTGTTCTAAAAACAAGTAGAAATATTCTCAGAAAAAAGCATACTGAACACGACTCTCTATTTCCTTTAAAGTTTAGTTGAACAAACACTAAAATGTTTTGTTTCCATTCAAAAATAGTGATTTATTTCCTGGGAATATTGAAGCAATATTCTTGTAAAACAAATTATGTACAGAATATCTGCATTCTATCTACATAAACACACATGCACAGATGTAAAAGCGTCCCCTTAGCAATCACGTCTTTTCCGTCTGGGTCACTACGTAGCCTCGTCCTCTCGACAACACCAGCTGTTTTGCACTCTCCTCATTTCTACAAGGCTTCCTGCAAAAGCAGACGCAGCTTCCTCTGCTCGTCTTCCACCGGGGTCACCCACTCCTTCTTCAAGAACTGGACGTCCATGCTGCCGGAGGCTTTGGCCAGCACCAGGGCCAGGAAGCTGCCGCTGGTCTTCTCTGGTTCACCTACGACGGTCATGGCCACCAGCCTGAAAGTGAGAAGCAAACACTGTGTGATTCTGAGTCTCCCAAATGATCCCCAAGGGAAGAGTAAAAAGGAAGAGAAATTCTAAAAATTTCAGTAATAGTCAAAATAAAAGGTTAGACCGGAAATAAACGTAAAAAAATCTACAGAAACTTTTCTGAAAACATATTTCTGCATTTAGAGTTCGCTGGACTGACCGCCTGTGAAGGTGGTTGTTAAAGATGAGCTGGAATCCCCCACCATCCCCTGACTTCAGCAGGATAACTCGCTTTCAGTGGGACTAGCACCCTCCCGCCTCCTGTCTCCTCAGTTCAAGAGAAAACGCCCTCCCTCGTGGGTTCTCAGGCTGAGCTCAGCAGTCCACAAGCCCTTCCCGTACCCCCAGAGCCTAGAGCTAGGGGGTCCCTGTGTGAGGGTCCCTGGTGTGGGGGTCCCCATGTGAGGGTCCGTCCCCACTATGGAGTCCTCTGTCAGGGTTTGCAATGTAAGGTCCTCAGTGTGGGGGTCCTCACATGGGGTCTGCAGTGTGGGGGTCTCTGGTGTGGAAGTCCCTGTGTGGGGGCCCTCACATGGGGGTCCCTAGTGTAAGGTCCTCAGCACAGGGGTCCTCAGTGTGGAGGTCCCTACACTGGGGTCCCTGGTGCCTCATCCTTGGCCCTCCCCACTCCTCCCTGAGCGATCTCATCCACAACTGGGTCTTTGATTAAAGGACAAAACTCACAACCCTGTGTCTCCAGCCCAGACTAATGCCCCAAGCTCTCCATCCAGCTGGTGAACGGCAACGCCATCCGTCCCTTACATGGCCGTCAAGAAACCTGGAGCCATCCTGACAGCCCGATCTTGCTCCCTGTGTCCCTTCATCATCCCATTTCTCCGACCAGGTCCCATCTCTAATCTCATCCTCCCGCAACCCCAGCTGACAAGAGACTCAACAACGCACATCCCACATCCACTCAAGGCCTCCTGGCTGCCCAAGGCCACCCCAGATCCCAGGTCCCACACCAGCACCTGCGGTTCTGGCCTCTCAGGATAGTCTCCACCCCTTAGCCTGTAAGACTCGACTCAGCACCGTCACCCAGAGGCCTTACTGACCCCCCGACTGTGCCTAGTTCAGTCAGGGACCCCTCAGCATCCTGGGAACACCTCCATCACACACTTGTCACAGCTTTAACCACAAAGAAACCACACTTAACCCACACCCACCTCAGTGCGGCGCCCCCGTCCTCTGCAGTGACCGGGGCACAGGAGACGGGGTCTGACGGGATCCACAACCGGAGAAGGACAGAGCATGAGCCCCTCTCGAGTGCCTGAGACTCCCCAGTGTGGTCCCATGAGGTCTGACTGCCCACTACTATTCCATAAACCTGTGCCCACAGCCCAAAAACCCACCAACCCCCAGGCCCCTGTGACGGGAGCAAGGCACACCCTGACGGGGACCTGGCCACCAACGTACTTCCACATCTGCACACACCTGGGCAGAGACCAGACCGAGCCCTCTGAGCAGTGCAGGCCCCTGCTCTGGAGAACCCACAGCATTATTAGGGGAGGGGGAAGGGGAGAGTTAAGCCTTCATGAGACCACAAAAGGAGCAGACCATGAAAAATTACAAGTCATCACAATTTTCACTAACTACTTAATACTTTAATACTGTAAGTTAGCATAAGTGAGGCCATCTTGTTACACTAAATGGCCCCAGCCCCTCCTCTGTGTGACTACTCACTGCTCTGCACATACTCTAAAAAATTCACGTGCTCTCCTGATTTATGGCCTCTGCTTATGTATGTACTCCCCAATAGCTTGATAAATTAAAACTTTGTTCTATGAGTGTCTCTCCAGGAACAGGCTGACCACAGGCAGGAAACACACCTACCAGGTAGCCCTCACAGCTGACAGAAGAATGGAACAATGTGATGCCCAGAGCCCATCACACCTGAGGACCAACATCCCTGGACCCCCTCCTCACTGCCCATTTTCCCTATATAACTGCCTCAAGATTCTGTAATCCTTGAGGATGGTTTTTTGAGACATTAGTCTGCCATCTTCCCAGTTATGCTGGCTAATCAAATTAAAACTTCCTTTCTCGATCCCTAACTCATTGTGATTAACTGGCTCAGATCATGGTGAGCAGCGTGAGGCCACTGCTCAGTAACAACACTGCTGTTCAATTACCAGTGTAGAACAGAGCAAAGCTGAACTGCCACAAACTTGGAAACATCAGTAACGGATGATGAACATGAAACACTTCCCCAGCATCGGGACTGTGACACTGAGCTTGGTGTGCAAGGGACGGACAGATTTAACTGTGTCCAAATTTAAAAAAACATTAAAATAGATGTAGAAACACCAGTCAGTACTATCACTGGCCAATTTTTTTAAATGTCCTTCAGATTTGTGAGCTGGACAGAATCCAAGGACAGAGGGCAGAACACAAAAACCTAAGTCAGGTTCAACACCCAGCTGCCACCACCTCCCTGTCAGCCCAAAGCTGCACCCCACTCCCCACGCGCTCACCACCCACTCCCCACGCACTGGCCACCCACTCCCCACGCACTCACCACCCACTCCCCACGCACTGGCCACTGGACCTGCTTCTGACCAGGAGCAAGCAGGGTAGTTATCATCATGGATTTTAACTTAACTTTAATTCTTCCTTCTATCTAAAACTGTTGCCTTTTAAACTCTATTAGTTTCTTCTTGTTCTGTTTTTCTTTATCGCTGAACAATTAAGCACTTTCTGTGAATATTACTTCAACTTAAACACTGCTGCTAACCACTGAGACAAGAGGTGTCTAGGGAGAAGAATGTTCTAGATCATTTCGGAAGCCTCTCCGCTGCTCCACTCTGTGCTCAGCTCCAGCCCAGCTGCCCTCTCCTGAGACCCGGACACACTGGCCGACCACCACCAGGGCCCCTGCTACTCCCTACTCCTCTCTCGGCCACCCCCACCTGGCCCCCACTGGCATAGGCCACCCCAGGACTAGTGTGCCCGCCCCCGGCCCGAGACCCCCGACTCCGAAGTCTGTGCCCAAACATCCCCTTCTCAGGAAGGCCTTCCTTTCCCTCCCCACTTAAAATCCCAGCACCTCCTGCCCACATCTGTGCCCCTCGTTTTACCCCTCCCATCACACACTGTGCCACTTGCCTACTTAGTTTATTTTGTTTATGACTCATCTTGCCCCACGAGGATGTGAGCCCACTGACTGGTTCACTATTGCACCCCTAGTGCCTGGAGCAGTGCCAGGCACATAGTGGGCGCTCAATCAATAGTTGTTTTCATCTATCGTCAATTAGTTCATCACAAAGGAGCCAAGAACACACTATGAGGAAAGGACAGTCCCTTCAACAAATGGTGTTGGGAAAACTTGACAGCCACATGTAAAAGAATGAAACTGGACCAGTACCTTACACCATTCACAAAAATTAACTCAGAATGGATTAAAGACTTGAACGTAACACCTGAAACCATAAAACCCCTACAAGAAAACATAGGTGGTAAGTTCTCTGACACCAGCCTTGGAGATGATTTTTTGGATCTGACACCAAAAGCAAAGGCAACAAAAGCAAAAATAAACAAGTGGGAACACACCAAACTAAGAAGCTGCACAGCAAAGGAGACCATCAAGAAAATGAAAAGGCAACCTATGGAATGGAGGAAATATTTGCAAATCATATATCTGATAGGAGGTTAATATCCAGAATATACAGTCAATGACAGACCACATATACGACAGTGGTCTCATAAGATTAGTACCATATAGCCTAGGTGTGTGGTAGGCTATACCACCTAGGTTTGTGTAAGTACACTCTATCGTGTTCGCACAACGACAAAATTGCCTAACAACGCATTTCTCAGAACGTGTCTCCATCATCAAGCGATGCATGACTGTATGAAAAACTGATACGACTCAACAGCAAAAAAAAAATCTGATTAAAAAATGGGCAGAGGCCCTGAATAGACAGACATTTTTCCAAAGAAGACATACAGATGGCCAACAGGTACATGAAAAGGTGCTCAACATCACTAATCATCAGGGAAATACAATTAAAAACGACAATGAGATATCACCTTACACCTGTTAGAATGGCTATTATCAAAAAGACAAGAGAACAAGTGTCAAAAGAATAAGGGAACCTTTCTGCACTGTTAGGTAGGAATGTAAACTGGTGCAGCCACCATGGAAAACAATATGGAGGCTCTTCAAAAAATTAAAAATAGAACTACCATATGATTCAGCAATTCTACTTCTGGGTATTTATCTGAAGAAAATGAAAACACTAATTTGAAAAGATATCTGAACCTCCATGTTCATAGCAGCAGTATTTACAATAGTTAAGATATGGAAACAACCTAAGTGTCCATCAATGGATGAATGGACAAAGAAAATGTCATATGTATTATATAATGGAATATTATTCTGCCTTAAAAAAGAAGGATCCTGCCATTTATGACAACATGGATGGACCTTGAGATAGAGAAATAAGAAAAGACCATTATGGTAGAGAAATAAGTCAGAGAAAGACAAATACTGTATAATTTCACTTAGATGTGGAATCTAAAAAAAACAAAAAGAACTCACACAGAGGACAGATTGGTAGCTGCTAGAGGTAGGGGGTTGGAGGTGGATAAAATGGGTGAAGGGGGTCAAAAACTACAAACTTCCAGTTATAAAATAAATAAGTCACGAGGATGTGATGTACAGCGTGGTGACTATAGTCACTAACACTATATTGCATATTTGAAAGTTGCTGAGAGAGTAGATCTTAAAAGTTCTCACCACGAGGAAAAAATTCCATAACTTCATATGGTGATAGAGGTTAACTAGACTTATTGTAGTGACCATTTCCCAATACAAATATTGAATCATTACGTTGTACACCTGAAACTAATGTAACGTTGCATGTCAATTAGTCAATTATACCTCAATAAAAATAAATACATAAATGTTTGTTTTATTAAATAACTGACAAACTTTTTGGAATGAATTGTATGTGCATTATGTGTTTATAAGTGAATCACAGTCTATATTTTGATGATGTGTTTTTTTAATAATTCAAATAATGTAAGTATACCTAGTACTGGAACTACATAAATACATAAATGCAATTCTTAATTTTTTTCAAGTCTTATCAGTATATCCCTAACATTCTGTCAAACTACTTTCTGTTTTTGATCATTTTTTATCCTCCTCTTTCCTTTACAGAAGGGATGTGGAATACAGCTTGGTGGTTCCCCGCCCTCCCCAGGTTATAACAAGCCTTCACAGCAGGAGAATTTATTGACAAAATAAAATCTCAAGAAAAGAGATAGATGAATAGACAAAGTGGCATCAAGAGAGATCCTTCAAAATGAAAGCTTTTATAAATATTTGAACTTTCAATTAAATAAAACAAGGACAAGGAATGATCTAAAGCGTACCAATGACAATCCCCATGTCTTACATTCACATGAATGGGTTTCACACTAAGCATTGTAGAGGCCACACGGGACTTGGTCTGACTCTGACATCACTTTGGGGCATAGGAATGACATCAATGTGAAATTATACAAATTACTAACTCCCATGTAGTATCATTTTTTAGAAACTAGAAGGAATACTTTACGCCTCAGACATATTCTGAATTTATAAGACTAGTAAATGAACATAACTATGGAGCTCACAAAAGTTTTTTTATTTATAGAATGATAATGATGAGGAAACAGTTCAGTATGAATACTTTAATCCATAGACTATTCTGGACCAAATATGAAATAAACACATTTTAAAGTGTTTTTTTGTGGGTGTGTGTGAGGAAGATCGGCCCTGAGCTAACATCTGCCAATCCTCCTCTTTTTGC